GTAGCGGAAAAAATAGAGGAAAATGGATTGGTTAGAAAGGCGGGGTCCAAGAGCTAATAGCTCGAGTCTGCAAATACAAATAGTAAATACACACACACACACACAAGTGGAATGTGTGTACTCACCTAATTGTGCTTGCGGGGGTTGATCTCTGGCTCTTTGGTCCCGCCTCTCAACCGTCAATCAACTGGTGTACAGATTCCTGAGCCTACTGGGCTCTATCATATCTACATTTGAAACTGTGTATGGAGTCAGCCTCCGCCACATCACTTCCATTCCATTTACTAACTACTCTGACACTAAAAAAGTTCTTTCTAATGTCTATGACGCTCATTTGGGTACTCAGCTTCCACCTGTGTCCCCTTGTTCGCGTCCCACCAGTGTTGAATAGTTCATCCTTGTTTACCCGGTCGATTCCCCTGAGGATTTTGTAGGTTGTGATCATGTCCCCCCTTACTCTTCTGTCTTCCAGTGTCGTAAGGTGCATTTCCCGCAGCCTTTCCTCATAACTCATGCCTCTTAGTTCTGGGACTAGTCTAGTGGCATACCTTTGGACTTTTTCCAGCTTTGTCTTGTGCTTGACAAGGTACGGGCTCCATGCTGGGGCCGCATACTCCAGGATTGGTCTTACATATGTTGTGTACAAGATTCTGAATTATTCCTTACACAGGTTCCTGAACGCCGTTCTGATGTTAGCCAGCCTCGCATATGCCGCAGACGTTATTCTCTTTATGTGGGCTTCAGGAGACAGGTTTGGTGGGATATCAACTCCTAGATCTTTCTCTCTGTCTGTTTCATTAAGTACTTCATCTCCTATTCTGTATCCTGTGTCTAGCCTCCTGTTTCCACTGCCTACTTTCATTACTTTGCATTTACTCGGGTTGAACTTCAGCAGCCATTTGTTGGACCATTCACTCAGTCTATCCAGGTCATCTTGTAGCCTCCTACTATCATCCTCTGTTTCAATCCTCCTCATAATTTTTGCATCGTCGGCAAACATTGAGAGGAACGAATCTATACCCTCTGGGAGATCATTTACATATACCAGAAACAGTATAGGTCCAAGGACTGACCCCTGCGGGACTCCACTTGTAACGTCTCGCAAATCTGAGACCTCACCCCTCACACAGACTCGTTGTCTCCTGTTGCTTAGGTACTACTCTATCCACCGGAGTACCTTCCCTTTCACTCCAGCCTGCGTCTCCAACTTTCGCACTAGCCTCTTGTGTGGCACTGTATCAAAGGCTTTCTGACAATCCAAAAATATGCAGTCTGCCCACCCTTCTCTTTCTTGCCTTATTTTTGTTGCCTGGTCGTAGAATTCAAGTAACCCTGTGAGGCAGGACCTGCCATCCCTGAAACCATGTTGATGTGTTACAAAGTTCCTTCGCTCCAGATGCTCCACTAGCTTTTTTCGCACAATCTTCTCCATCAGCTATAGGAATAACAGGACATCACCAGTGTCCTGTTATTCCTATAGTTTCTCCATGCCCTTTTACTTTGCTTCTTAGCTAGCCCACATCTCTGATTAAACCATGGATTTCTCATTTTCATTTCTCTGTTTTCCTT